ATCTTACAATAACTTGAAAAGTCATGTTCAACTCTAATTATGAAATTAAAAATTATAAAAAATATACAAATTAAGCATATCTATAAATACTTTAAAATAAACGGTCCAAATAACTTGCTACAATATACGCTATTTTAGTACTTGAAATTCTTTTGTTATTTATATCTATTAAGGGTGGCAATTGACCTAGACCCAGTCGTGGACCCTCCTCGAGTCTATGTATGGGTAAAAAAAATGGACCCAGTAGATTGGGTCTAGGTCCGGATATTGGACCCAAATACTATTTGGGTCCGAGGTTCATGTATACTCGACATGAATAGTGTGTCTATTTAAATAATATTTAATATGTAATTAATATTTAAATATAGGGTGGGTGCGGTTTGTATAGAGTCGAGGCTCTAGACAAACAAATTAGAGCCCACCTTCAAATAGTGTCGAGAAATGTGGTTTCAATGTTGGAAATCTTTGACTAGCCTTAAAATATATTTTTACCTTTAGTTATAAAAGTTAAAGCTTACAAAATAGTGTAGATGGAGCAAATCTAAGAAAACTTGAATAACTTATAAAAATTGACAGTCGAAAAATACGTTATAACGTGCTATTTCCAAAACTTGAAATCCATTTTTTTCTCAAGTCCATGCATCTTGATGGCGAGATGATCAATTTGAGGATATTTGGGTATCAAAATAACCTCTTCTAGTGAAAATTTTGAGGTAGGCTCTAATTTGATTGTTTAGAGTATAGGCTCTATATAAACGTTTTCCTTAAATAAATATAACTACAAGTTTGAGTTATAATATTTGAATTATATATATATATAAATTTTAAGTCAGGTCTAGACAACCCGACCCGATGCCACCTCTAATATCAATACATCTTGAGGTTGAGATGATCCATCTTTTTTAACTTCAAAATACTATTTTTTACTTGATTTTTCTAGGCGCATCTTGGTTCTAAAGTATACGGTTGTGACCTTGTAAAAACTTCTTCCCATCATGGTTGAAACTTGAGACCAATGAAATCAGGAAGGAGCATAAAGAAAATATAGATCAATTATAAAAAAATGTATCCATTTAACAGCCGAGGGGATGTAGCTCACATGGTAGAGCGCTCGCTTTGCATGCGAGAGGTACGGGGTTCGATACCCCGCATCTCCACTCTTGTCACTTTTTTTTTTATTTTTATATAACCAAATATTTTTGTGAATCACTTGTTTTTTATTTTTATATAACCAACTATTTTTGTGAATCACTTGTTTTTTATTTTCATAGAACCAACTATTTTTGTGAATCACTTGTTTTTTATTTTTATATAACCAAATATTTTTGTGATATAAAAAGAAATGGTTGTTTGCACAGTAATATTCACTTTTTTATTGAAGTTGTGATATGAAAAGAAAATTTCTATAAAAATATAACCAAATATTCTATAAAAATATAACCAAATATTATTTCTCTTTTTAAGAGTTTGTGATATGAAAAGAAATGGTTTGTGCAGTAATTAATATTCACTTTTTTATTGAAGTTGTGATATGAAAAGAAAATTTCTCTTTTTTATAGAAGTTGTGATAAAAATAACCAAATATTCTTTTGCTTTTTAAGAGTTTGTGATATGAAAAGAAAATTTCTCTTTTTTATAGAAGTTGTGATAAAAATAACCAAATATTCTTTTGCTTTTTAAGAGTTTGTGATATGAAAAGAAATGGTTTGCGCACTAATATTCACTTTTTTATTAAAGTTGTGTTATGAAAAGAAATTTTCGCTTTTTTATAGAAATTGTGACATGAAAAGAAATTTTCACTTTTTCATAGAAGTTGGGACATGAAAAGAAATGGTTTGTGCAGTAATATTCTTTAAATAAAGGATGAAGTTTTCTATAAGTCCTAGGTTTTATGAAAATAAAATAAAGCAGCACTTCAAATACTCTGTTTAAAAAGCACTTTTAGTAACAAAAAAAAAGAAGAAGTAAAGCACCACCTCAAAATCATCGTCTAAAAAGCACTTTAAGCAACAAAATTTTTATGATCATTCTAAACAATTTTTAACACCAACGATATAATTTGGAACTAAAAAAATGATATAAATCTTACGGATCTATGAACACTTATTTTTAAAGTCAAATAGACGGTATATATAATTTGCTCCAATATAAACAATTTTTAGGGCTTAAAATCTTAAAAAAAATTCACAACTAATATGTTCAAGCTGAGATCATCGATGTATAGATTTTTTAATGTATAGATTGTAATTTTAGTTGAATTGACGCTGTACTTATTAGAATCAGACCGCGGCTCTATCAAACCATTTTCCTTTAAAAATATTTTAATTGTCCTTACAAAATATATTTTAATTTTCACGATGATATATTATAAGACTTACTACATTCTACTAATCATTAAACAAGAGTGGGACCCACTTGTGAAAGCCAAACATAGAAACGGTCCCACATGTGGGTCCCACATTCTTGGTTGCACCTCCAACTGTCGGCACACTAAATAAGTTTAGCTTTGCCCATGGCTTTATCAAAATCAAATCTTAGTCCTCTTAGCATTATTTGTCAAAAATGTTTTTTTTATTTTTATCAAAATGACATTGAGCGTGTACACTAGGGAGCACGTGTACACCGATTCCATCGGCAAGAAAATGTACTCAGAGAGTATTTTTTTTTTTTTTTTTTTTTTAAATATGAAATTTTGCGAACCATCGAGGATTCCTAGATAATATTTTTTGGAAGAAAATATTTGAAATTTGATTTCTCAATACTTAGATCGCATTATATTAAAATTGGATTGTTTGTGTTCAACCTTGAAATATTATATCTTAAATCCGATGGTTTGTGTTACAATATTATTTTTTAGTGAGTAGATAATACAACTTTTATGTAAGCGTGAGGGCTAAAGATGTTAGGTCCCAGAGATCTTGAATATACTCTTCTACCAGGTTTTATCATTTTGGATAACATTTTTTTGGTAGACGTGAGGGTTCAAGATGTTAGGTCCCAAGATTTGAGATCTTGAATATATTCATTCCTCTACTAGGTTTTATCATTTTGGATAAGCTAATGGGTTAAAGATGTTAGGTCTCAACACTTGAGATCTTGAATATACTCTTCCACTAGGTTTTATCTGAGGGAGTAAACAAATACTATGCTCCCACAAGATCGCAAAATATTTTAGTAAAATGAAATATGAGATTTAAGAAAATGAAAATAAATTAAATGAAATATGAGATTTACAGTATACTACAATGATAAGAAAAAAAAAAAAATGGAAATAAATTATGCCAAAAAAAAATGCCTCTATCTTCAATTATTCTTTTTCTACTGCAAATAGCATTTTTTTTTCTCAAGCTCCGACTCAAAACTTAGCAGAGCATCATTACGTTTCCGGGTAAACATTTCCTCTTTTCATCATGTTTCCGGGTAAACATTTCCTCCTTTCACTCTCTTAAACATTTTTTGTTTGCAACTATTCAGTCTCTCTAACATCCCATATTTTTTATTCTATTATTCAGTCTCCTCCAACACCGCATATTTTTTCTTATTTCATTGTATTGCATGACGAAAATTCCAGTTTACTAACAAAGCTTCTGAAGCTTGTTTTTATAATTTTTAAATATGAGAAAAGCCTCACAAGTTATTTATATTATATAGATAAAATGCTAAAAAGGCATAAGAAGTAAAAAGAGGATAGAAGAATGAAGGTTTATCACAATAGAAGCGTGTTATTCTAATTTCTTATCATACTGGAAGTGTGTAATTTTATGTAAGCGCAAATGCATGAATAGTTTATATGCCCTAAGTTTGAACCAAGGTTTAAAAAATCAGTGACTTGATCCGGAATCAGACGATTTGAATCAAGAATCACCTAGGATGCTTTGGATTAGGCCAAAAAAATGGGATTCAGGCAGTTCCAAATAGTAGAATTGTTGATTTTTTCACGAAACCGCCGATTCCGACGATTATTCACCAAGTCCGACTGATTTTTCACCAAGTCAAGCAAAAAAAAAAAAGAAAAAAAGATGAAATTTTCAAGTCTTCATAGATATGCTTGATCTACACTATTTTTCAAGCTTTAAATTTTATAATTAGAGATGTAAACAAATTTTAAGGCTATCACAAATATTTCTAGTATTGAAACCACCTTTCTCGATACTATTTGAAGGTATGTTTTACTTTGATTGTTTAGAGCATCGGTCTTGTACAAACCGCACCCTTTTTTTAAACACTTAGACGTGGTCCCACCATTTAAGGACATGTTTTCTCTAAGTCCATATAGAAATGAGTCACCTCTTAAAAATTTATAGTATTGAAACCATATTTATCGAAAGCTGCGCTTTACTTTGGTTGTTTAGAGCCTCAGCCTTGTACAAACGAACGGGTACCTTTTTTTTAAACACTTAGGCATGGTTCCACCATTTAAGGACATGTTTTTTATAAGTCCATGTAGAAATGAGTCACCTCTTAAAAATCTATTTTTGAGATGGAATTTTGGATTTAATTTTTAAAGATATGTAATCTCTAACATGGAAATCATGAATATGAAAAAATAAAATAAAAATTGAAAAAATAATAATAATAATTTTATTAAAAAAACATTTAGGCCGTTAATTTCAATTGTCTTTAGATGGATCACCTATCTGTATCCATCTTTAAGATGGATGCTTTATACATATGGGAACCGCAAATGTAGAAATGCGGTCCTCGCAGCATGAAAACAATTTTCCCAACATTTAATTCATACTTCCCCATTTATAATTATTCAAAATAAACAAATATTATCCGGATGTTTTTGCCATTTTAAACAAGAGTTGGGGCATTTTAGTCATGTCGCGCAAGTAACAAACACCACCGACATTCGCGCCCTGAGCCAAAGAGCTTTAGGTTCGGAAAATACGCTCATTAGCTTCGGCATCAAACCGTACCTACTCTCTCTCTCTCTAGATTCACTGCCAGCCTGTTACGTCGATCCGAGCCTCTCGCTCTCTAACTCTCTCTCTCTGCACTGACCACCTTTTTACTCTGAAACTACAAAACCTCTTCTAAGTCCTTCAATGGCGGAGCTTATGAATTTCGTTCTCCTATTTATTTGCAGTTTTCCGCTACAATGTCCTATTTTTCGCGGATAATTCTTTAGCAGTGCAATGTCATGTTACTGAGTTTTTTTTTTGAGAGAATTCGAGCGGTGGTTGGTGAATTTTGCAAAGGCTTTAAGGTCCTTGCTTCTGCCTTGCAGTAAAATTGAACAAAGCTGACTGTAGTGTAAGAATTGCCTTTTTCTAGTAAGAATTTGGAGAAAGCTTGATGGTTTTGGATTTGTAAATTGGTTGAAGCTTCTCATTCTCATAGTTTTCGGAATTTCCTTGTTTTTGCTGTAATTATGGAGTTATACTCGTTTAATTTTGAGATATTTCCATTTTAGAGAAGAATGTGGAAATCGAAACCTTACTGTTTCTGAAACTGAAAATTGTTTAGGAAATTTGCTTGTTCTGTGTTGATTTATTTGAATTGCAGAGGCTCTAGGGCCTTACTTTCTCATTAGAGGAGGAATCAATGAAAGACTCAAACTTGGGAGAGCTTTTGGAATGAAATTTGTTGTCAAATTCCTTAATTCTGTTTTCACTTTGCAATGAGAAGTTTCTGAGTCTTTCTCCCTACAATCTTGAAATGCTGAGGCTATAATGATATAATTCAAACCTTTCTCTCTCTAGAATGGTTTACTTGAAATGCTGAGGCTCTAATGCTATATTTAGAAAATCAGGACTTTCTCTCTCTAGAATCACTTCCCTGAAATGCTGGGGTTCTCAAGCTCTAGTTTTAATTATCTCTTTCTAGACTGATTTCCTAGGTGCTTAAAATTTCTATATCTAAACACTTGATTGATAGAACCTAGTTGATCCTTAAATGCAGGTTGTTTAGGCTTCCGTTTTTGTTTCCAGCAAAATCCTAGGTTTTTGCTCTCTAGAGCCATCCATTGCCTTCAAGTTTCCTTTTCCTGTTAAAAATGGCAGAAAACTTATTATGTTTTATACGAGAAATTTCATAGGTCGTCGCACTTAACAAAAGAATTACACATATTTTATGCCTACCTCATAAATTTTGCAGAGATTATTACTGTAAATAAATTTAAATTCGATTATTTAATTTTGATTTTTCTGTATAGAGATAATTGATTTTCTCAATTTTGCATTGTTCATTTCATTGAGGTAAATCTGAAATTTATCTATTCCTGGATGCAGGATTATTCAGTTTTTCCTTTTCTCTGAGAAGTTTTATCAGAAAAGAAGAAAGAACGAAAGAACTCGAGTGACTTTCAAGTTTCCATTTTTGGTAATTAATGGCAATGGATCTTGGGATTCTTGTATTGGGTCTCTGAAATATTCGGTGCATTTTAGTGAAGGACTGAGGCTCTCGATTTCCTTTTTCTGGTAAGAAATATTGAATTTGCCATTAAAGGACATCACTTTTGTTGTAGGATTTTTTTATCCACATCAGTCTTGGACTTTTGTTATAAGGGTTTATATCCCTCCGTGTTAAAAATTAAAGATATTTTCAATCCATTGGACTCAAGGAATATTTTTTTTTAAATCCCTTACCTTTTCTGAGCACATAATTTGTGCGACCCCACTCTCTCTAACTATCTTTAAAATTAACTCGTTCCGCATGGTATTTGGGTTGATCTCTGAGATCGGCTCAAATCTGAGCATAAACACCTTCTAATTTACTATTTGGCAAAGTTCCAGATATAGTTTTTGTGTTACAGCTGATATGAACGTCAAGGAATTAGGTATTCTGTTTTTCTATGTGTTCGTCATTATTGACAATGAAGACTCTCTGAGGCTTTATCCCAGGACCTCATGATGGTATTGATTTCAATAGTCCAATGTTTTTAACCATTTCCGGAACTAAGAAGCTCAATGGTCTTTCTAAAAACCAATTTACTTTCTCTAAGTCCTTAGACTTGTTGACTCACCATTTTTGGCTTCAAACCTTAGACTTCCCACCATTTATAGGATTCACAAGCTCCAAATTCTATTTCAAGAAAAAGTTTCACTAACCTTTCTCCATCTCCATCAAAGATGTTAGCTTCATCAGAATTCTCACCATTAAAAATAGAGAATCTCTCGTTATCGTACCCAATTTGGGTGCCTATCTTTCACAGCCTTCTCTATCAAAGATGTAAGCCATATATATCCATTTGGGGTGCCAATTTTTTTTGCAGTCTTTCTTTATCAAGATGCATGCCAAATCAGACTCCGATGTCACAAGCTTGGCCCCTTCTTCTCCTTCAAGGTCTCCAAAGAGACCCGTTTATTATGTTCAAAGCCCATCTAGAGATTCTCACGATGGGGATAAGTCCTCTTCTCTGCAAGCAACTCCAGTTTATAATAGCCCAATGGAGTCCCCTTCTCACCCTTCTTTTGGAAGGCATTCTCGAGCTTCATCGGCAAGTCGATTTTCAGGGGCTTTGAGGTCTTATGGTCGCAAGATTAACCCACATGAAAGGGGTAACAAGAAGATGAATGATAAGGGTTGGCCTGAATGCAATGTGATCCAAGAAGAGGGCTCTTATGATGACATTGAGGAGAATGCCGGCTTCTCTCGGAGATGCCAAGTCTTGCTTGCTGTTCTGTGTTTTGTTCTTATTTTCACAATGTTCTCTGTCATTCTATGGGGGGCCAGTCGACCTTACAAACCAGATGTTATTGTGAAGGTATGCCCAAAAACTTTAAGAAATCAAAATGTAATTTTGCTGTGTGTCTGGGAGGGGTTTGATAAGGGACAATGATGGGTTGCTGGCTCTAATAAATCATTTTCTGCAAGTATTTGGTAATTAGAAGATTCAAAGGTCGAAAACTGTTCCAGATAATGAGAAACTGCCGGATAAACCTCTAAGACTCTTTTAACTCTTTCTGAATTTGGTATGTTATTTTGGATTATTTTATCCTGCAGGGAGCAAGTTTATAGTTACATAATAGTTTTTGGTAATTGTCATGCTGCAAAAAATGTTAGGGACAAAACACCGACATTTGCACCCAATGAAGCTGCTTCCTTGGAGGAACAAAACCATCAAAAGAATAGTGTTTCGATCCCACAACAGCTCTTGCAGTTTAGCCTAAAAAATCACAACTGCTCTCGTAGAGCCGTTATGCTTTCCCTTGTTTTTTGCAAGAAAAATCCACCGACCGCAACAGACATAGCATGTCTGGTGCGGTCAATTTTTCCACGCCGTCCAAAAAGATCCAACGGTGCCAAGCCTATGGGTAAAAACACTGTTCATTTTCGCCCATAGGTGTTACATAGTGGCATCCTTCTATATAGATTTAAACAGATCTTGTTATGTACTCAGTTACTGTATGATCTATTCTAACATTGTTGAGCATCTTCTGGCTTTCTTGGCAGCTAACTGGAGAATGGAAAGCCAAAGTGGCTTTCTATGCAACTTTTCCAATGGACAAAATGGCAAAAGTGCCCCTGAAATAAAAATATTGACCAAGTCCAAGTTCAATATCCTAATGCTGTCCATTCCAATTTAGACAAAGATTGACTAATCCTTAGTTAACTGTTGCAGAGCCTGACAGTTGGTGACTTTTCCTTGGGGCAAGGGACAGATTACTCCGGGGTGCCAACCAAGATGCTCAATACAAACTCCACCTTGAAACTAAGCATATACAATCCTGCAACTTTCTTTGGGATTCATGTCAGCTCCTCGCCAATCAACATTATGTTTACTGAGATACCTATCGCAACAGGACAGGTAACTTTCGTCTGTAACTTCTCTCACACTAAAGCTCTCTTTGTTTCTACTTGAGTACCCCATTTAAGTTTGAGAACCCTTTGTGTGAGTCCCCCTACTCGTACAATTTGTGTATTGGGCCTGATGTCTGTTTGATCTTTATATGAAAGCCAGCAGCTAGTCGGCAACAATTGCACAAGTTGGCACCTGTTGTTCTCGTGAGTTTGCAACAAATGTGATATTGTTCGCAGCTGACTTTTAGTATGCTTCAGATTCCAGCATACTAGAGATTTCCAGGAGCCCAAAAAACCTAATCACAAGCAGGGGCCTGTGCCGCTCCCAAGATGGTACTTGAAATTATGGCACGAATGTTATTGTTTGAAACACTGAACACCAGGCCCAGGAGGGCATAAAGCTAATTGCAATGTTCTATTCAATTTACCTTTGTGCCCTCCAGGGCCGTGTTTGTAGTTTACCACATTGACCTTGGAAAGAATTCGGTTTGCCATTTCAAGTACAAGACTGAAAAGGACAGAATGGTACAAGAGAAAGTTAGATTTGTCCAAGTACCTTCATATTACAGGCTGGTTTTGCAGTTTCTTGTTGTAGTTTGGTTTCTACAGGCATGAACTCATCATTGGAATTGGGCTTTTTCTAGCCATTATAGCTCTCCTCTCAGGCCTCTCCTCACTTGTCTTATCAATTATTTTTTTGCCATATTGATTTTAATTTTTTTGTGTATTTACCTATAATATTCTTTAGTTTGGCTTAGTGTCTTCCTATTTCTTTTCCCTTTCAATTCCTAGGGATGTGGGTTGCGTTAGAAACCTGCTATGTATTGAATGATTCACAATCTAAATATATAGTTCTCATATATGCAATACGTTCATGTCTTTCTGGCATAACTAGAGAGAGTAGAAAGCACTCATATGACCGATGCTTGTTATACTCTTTTTCTCTCTCACACACACCCACCCGCCCGCCTGCCCACCCACCCACACGCACACCCATCCACCCATACACACATGCACAAACACCCACACGCACTTGTAGTCTGAATGTAGTTCTTAAGTTCTTATATATGTTCATGTCTTTCTGCCATAATTAAGTGAACTAGAGAAATTAGAAAGCTCTTATCTCACCATGCATGTCTCTCTCTCTCTCTGGTGTCTACTTGTTCCTTTCACAAAAATGCCACTATCTTTGCAGTTGAAATCTCTCCTCTCTCTCACACACACACACATGGCCACGCAAGCACACATGCACACACGTAAGTAGATTTTGCTACGCACCATCTATACTTGCTCCTCACGCAATGTATCACATCCTTTGCAGTTGAAGAAATATTACCAACCAAGACAGAGCCAGAGAACCGTGTCCATTGTATTGCAAGGGAATAAAGTCCCTCTGTATGGAGCTGGGGCTAGTTTGACTGGATCATCAACTCTAGGTGCGGTTTCTCTACGGCTTGAGTTCGACATAAAATCCCGAGGAAACGTCGTTGGAAAGTTGGTAAAATCAAGAAACCGAAGGCGTATTACTTGTGATTTTGTCCTAGATTCGAGTAAGCTTAAGCCCATCAAGTTCTTGAAGGATTCTTGTACTTATGGTTAGTTTATTCAGATTTAGGGCTTCTTGTACCAATGATTAGTGTCATTTGGATTTAAAGGATAGGGATTTAGGGTTTCGACTCTCTTGTTAAGTATGGATAGTGTCCTTGGGCTTTTGCATTGCTTGGTATGTTCATTGCCTTAGTATGTTATTTATGGGGTTAATTATTTATTTCTATCTAGTGAAATCTAAGAGTTACGTGGGTGTGAAGTTGTAATATTTGAGTACATCTCTCATTGTCTCCTACAGTATTACTTTTATACCCTCTTGGAGCTGGTGTCCAGTGTTTTGAACTCGAGGTAAATTTTAAATGTTTTGAAAAGTTCTCTGCGGAAAAAAATTTATCAAAGTATACTAAAAGATGGAAGTATTTAATATAGAAAAAATATAGACCGAGACAATTTATCTTTAGTACGGTCATAATTAATCTTGACTGAAATTAGATAGTTGTATTTATTCCATTGATCAAGCTCAAAGTTCAACAGATATTTTTTTTAACTTTCAAATCCAACCAAATTATCCGATTTCCCATCAGATGGTCACGAGTAAGTGTCACCTTTTTGTAATAAAGGTTGATGGTGTCATTGAATACAATCCTTTTACTATTTCACTTCTTATTTAATATTTCACCTCTTAGTACATCGAAGTGTAACTAACATCAATGCTTGACCCATTTAATATCCCATGACGCACATAGTTCTAAGTTCTAACATGGCATTTTACGAAATGATAAGCTTTTTCATGGAGTTTGACATAATGTCTCGCAAAAAAGAATAGACATTATTGATTTTCTAGTAGTACAAATATTATTTGATCCCAATTAGTTAAGAAAAGACTTTGATGATCTCTTTAGAATAAGGGTTGGCCCAGCCCATGCATGTCCAATTGCGAGCCCTTATTACAAACCAGCCACCAAATCAATACAAAGGAATTGTCCAATTAAAACTACTCCAACCACGGCTCAAAGGTTAGACCAGATTGTTTATAGAAGAAAAGAAAAAAAAATTAAAACTAAAATTAAAATATATTAAATCAGAGAATTACAAGAAATATGCTTTTTTTTTTTAGATTATTAAAAATAGAACCCAATTTTTTTAAAACCCATCCATACCATTTTTCTCCACCATTAACATTTACATTTTTTTTTTTTGATAAAAATACCCTTCAATCTTAGATCTTAGATCCGTGAAGGCGTCACGGTCGACCCAAAACCGTGATAGAATTTCAAACATCACAGTATTATAAAATACCTCTGAAACACCGTGATGCCTCTCATGACCATCCCGGAATTTTAAAAGATCAATATACAGTGCAGCAATGCTTTTTTTGTACATCACGACCTTTGAAAAACTGTTATGCCTCCCTCGACCATCATGGTAAAACACATGATGGCTATTTGGGTACTAAAATTTCAAGAGCATCACATTCCTTTCGCCACACATCACAGTTCTGGATCGACCATGATGCTTTCACATATCTAAGATTACCATGAAGAGTATTTTTGCCAAAAAAATTAAATAAATACAAATAATGGAAAGAAAAGGTACAGATGAGATTCTGAAAAAATTCGGATTTACTGCTAATAATCTTTTTTTTTTTTAATAATTTTCATAAAGTTTTTACCTACAACAATCGAACGGTTCTAAACTGGTTGGTTCGACCGTCGGAAACTTGCAAATGATAGTTGTTAACGGAACTTCGACCAAATCCGTTTTTTAATCTTAAGACCGGACCAAGTTAGTTTCGATAACCATGGTGATCTCGTGATCAGGCCTTTAAAATATGACGTTTCACGTGAGCAAAAACTTGTTGGACATTAAATGCCGGACAACCTGTGAGCTTTATTTGTATTTTGGAGCACGAAGAAAAACAATCAGAAAGCGCGTCTTTCACTTAAAAAAATAAATAAAAAATCACAACCTATCAGATGCCAAAAGGCACTTCTGACAAACCAAAAACTCTTCACTTCTTCATATCAGATAATAAACCATTCCAATATTAGAACCCACCAACAGAAACAAAATGAATACAAAATCCACAAATACCTTATACATTAAACTCCATAAATACACATTCATAATGGTCTGACAAATACCCCGAGGGCCCCTGATAAAATCAACAAATTATAGATGGATAATCCTCTGAAGATTAAACCCCCCTATGGGGAGGGGTTCCCACTTTATTTGTTCTTCTGGAGGTGTGAGAGAGAGCAACTAGAATATAGCGAGAGAGGTGAGAGAAACAAATATAGGAGCATGGAATAGAAGGATTACCCTGATATTGAAACAACATGGAGAGAGAGGCAAGAGAAAGCAAGAAGAGGCATCAGTTGGCGGCCTGAGCTGAATCTCGGTTATAGAACTCGTCCAAAATCTTGGCAGGGATACGGTGAAGAAGCTCACGAGGGAAGATCCTGAGAAGGGTCCATGCCAAATCAAGGGATTGGAAAACGTCACGGGTGTCATAGGCTCCCTGAGCCACAAACTTCCTCTCAAACTTGTCGAGGAACTCAAGGTATAGCTGTATTAATGAATGATGGTTAGAAAGTTGCGAGTAGGGAGGGGTGTGTGTGTGTAAGAAAGAGAGGGAGAATCTTTGCAATAAATTGGAGAGAGACAGAGGGATACCAAGTCTTCGGAAGAGAGTGCTTCCTCTCCCACCACGGCCTTCATTGCTTGGACATCCTTCCCAATAGCATAGTTTGCATACAGCTGAGCAAATGCATCCCAAGGATTAGCAAATGACCCAAACCAATAAAACCAATAAACTAAATACAGAAATATCAGAAAAATGCAAGATTCTCTAATTTCTTTTACCTGGTTAGACACATCAGCATGGTCTTTACGCGTCATCCCCTCACCAATGGCACTCTGAAAGATAATGAAGCCATGACCAACAATGTTCAACGTTTCAGTTTGAAAGAAAACTTTCTAGATTTACACCCAATATAGTCTCCTTTTGAGTGATCATTTCAACATAAATACAAACTTGCATTTTACCTTCATCAATCGCGATAGAGAAGGGAGCACGTTAATTGGTGGGTATATCTATAGAGACCACAAATCAACATTGATCAAAGTCAAATAATAGCTCATCAAAAAGTACACGTCATAAGTCAGCAATGTGCTCAATTCATTATCCAAAAGATATGTTCATGGGTTTAATAATTTTAAAAGCAAGAATGTGCAGGCTTGACAGTATACCTGCCGATTTTGAAGTTGTCTATCAATGTATATTTGCCCTTCAGTAATGTAACCGGTAAGATCTGGGGTGGGATGTGTGATATCTGGTCCATAAGAAAGAAATAATGAGCCCATCACCAGCAAAACAGCCCTTGGATGGTAGAACTATTCCTTCTCTTTTGACAAGAATATTAAAGGAACTATCCAACAGTCAATGTTATCTTTTTCCAAGTCATAGCATGAAAAATGTACAAAGCATATTTGTAGTAGTAATGTGGAACACCTACTATTTGATAACTGTGATTGGCAAATTTGAAATACTAAAATCCCAAAAGAATATTTGCAAACAATAAAATCAACGACATGAAAGGGAAAAAGTGAATTTTCTCATAAAAGGCAACGATTCAGTACTTTGGATGAATTTTCCTAAGAAAAATGGGGAAAGCCCAGCGACTTCATGTGATTCAACATGGATAGATTCATTCCTTCATTGGAAACCTTTAGTTGCTTCAGAAAATAGTAGAAATGTTTCACATGCACCAAGTTCCAATGTTCAAAGGACATGCTGTAAGAGCTAATCAAATTCGAATCTCTTAACTAGAGAAGCCTAGAAAGAAAAATATACAAAAGAATCATATAATCAAATGCATATAACATAGCAATCTACTTTATAACCAGTAAAACATCAGGAAAACCTCCAGTTGCCACTACAGGTATCCTAAAATCTTTTGTTTGAGAATACTTTGGGTAGCCAGCGAAATCTCAAATACGTAAAATGTAAGCCAGGTAATTCGTTGCAACTACTGGTATCCTAAAATCTTTTGTTTGTGGATACTTTGGGTAGCAAGTGAAATCTAAAATATGTATAATGTAAGCCAGGATATTACTAGAGAACATGGCTGCATGGCATGCATAGCTCAATTAGAAAATGCTTGTGGGGGTTGATTCCAGCATACTTATCAAAGGAACAACAGTTACATAAACATCGGCACATTGCTTACCATCATTAGGCATGGTCAAAATAGGGATCTGTGTGATAGAGCCTTTTCGTCCTTGAATACGTCCAGCACGCTCGTAAATGGTTGCCAAATCAGTGTACATGTACCCAGGATACCCACGTCGACCAGGCACCTCTTCTCGAGCAGCAGATATCTATGCCATAATGCAACAACTATCTTTCAAAACATTACCAATACCAACAATGACACTCCCAATATAAGTAAGAAAGCACTTTTCTTTTTCTTAAGCTATTATCCCAAAGCAACAAATGGAAAAGCAAATATCAATCGCATTAAAAGACAAAGAATATTGATTCCAAACACTACAAATACCCTTCAATTACTTGAGTCATTTCAAAACTCTGCTAACCTGATTTTCTAAGCAAAAACTCCCTATTGAATTTTCAACTGCTATTCCCTAACGGGTGTAAGAAGGGATCTTCTACAATTATATCTTTTGATCTCTCAAATAAGCAATCAGCTAATACAACTACATTGTTTGTTACTGAACAGGAGATTAGCAAGGCTCGTTTCAGTACCTCACGAAGTGCATCTGCATATGAACTCATATCTGTTAGAATGACCAAAACATGCTTCCCACACTCATAGGCCAAATATTCTGCTGTTGTCAGTGCAATACGAGGAGTGATAATACGCTCAATAGTAGGGTCATTTGCCTGTAGAGAGAGCATGAGACCAACAAATAAGATTATTAATCAGCAACTCATTTTTCTTTATCGAAAGATAAGTAACAATCCTCATTGAATTAAAATCAGAAAGTATTTCTTTATTAACATTACATTATACGAAATTCAGTTTTTGCAAGAATACTTGGGCAAAAGAGTGTCTGGTACCAGGTTTAGGAAAAGAGTAACTCTCTCCATTGACCCATTTTCCTCAAAATCGCGCTTAAAAAATTGGGCAGTCTCCATGTTTACTCCCATGGCAGCAAATACAATAGCAAAATTGTCATCTTCCCGATCCTGCCAGCTCATGATGAAAACAAATTAGAGGCAGCAACATTCATTGGTAACCTTTCCTTTCAGGGATAAGTTAATTAGTGAAGAGCAAGAAGCAAAGTTGGCTCATTGTTGCTAATCATAAAAACATCATCAAATAGTTGCATGTGGGAGATGGAACCGCCGTGCATGGGAACAGCCAACCTCATGCATTGATAACATAATCTTAATATAAGACTACCATTATTTTTCCATAGGACTATGGGTTTCTAAATTAAAAAAAATGGCATCATAGGTTTTAAATCTTATGAATTCTTATTCTATCTTTTTTATTACAATCAAATAGTTAGAATTAAAATCCTCAACCTAGGGGCTGAAATCCATAAGTAGGTTATTATTGAACCCAAGTCTGGTAATATTCAAAATAGGGGGGTAAAACAGGATTAACTGGCCAATACACCCCAAATTTCAAAACTTAATCAAAAGGCAACTCAAGGTTTGCCCTTCACTTTCTACGGGTAGATAGGGTACACGCTTACTTCAATTAAGTGAAGTTGGGCAATTAGGAATGTGTGTATGTATGCATGCATGCATAAACGTACATACAAACATATATATGTGTTTTACAAGTAAAGTTAACAATAAAAGATATATATACACATCATCATCATCATCATCATCCAAGCCTTGTCCCGGTTATTTGGGGTCGGCTAAAAATATATAAATATACATATAAACCATATATTCTTTTCTATTATATCCTACTAGAAAAGGGAACAAGCAGACAATCTCTCCAAATTTCCACATGATCTTTGAAATTTCAGTAAATTTCAATACTCTCAAAGGAAACTATGAAAATGAACCAGTTCCAAAGTATAATACCAGAAGTCCAGAACTCTCAGCAGTTCCACTAGATTTAAATCCCTCTGATGTGCACACAAAGTGTAGAATGCCTTTCCACAAGAAATAGGTAAATCCCATCATATTTTGAATATCCTAGGATAGTTCAATTCTCTTTGAAACCACTCATAGTTAAACATATTTCAACATCATCGTTCAAAAAATATAAATTTGAAAACCATAGAACTCTTGCTTTTTTTGCTGGTTTTTTCAGTAAAAGATATAATGCATAATGATATCTCAAGACTAAAATATTAGTAGCTGGGTCTGTCCCCAATTAAGGATATCAAAGGGTTTGTATTACCTATTAATATGGGACCATTATCAATTGGTTCAAGTGGAAGGCTCAAAAAGGGCAAGGGATAGACCCAAAAGGACAAGGTTGAGAATAGTGAGAAAAGATATAGGGACTTATGGCCCCACTGAAGGTATAGCCCTTGATAGAGCAGAATGACATCACGATTCGTGTAGTCGACCCTAAATAGTTGAGAAAATGTTCTGATGATGATGAAAAGTATTTGTATTACCTCGAGTAGATTTCCAGACTTCTCCTTCCGCTTTACAAGACCGGCTTGACGACAAATCTGAGCCGCAATCTCATTATGAGGAAGCCCAGCAGCAGAGAAGAGAGGAATCTTCTGTCCTCTGGCAATGGAATTCATAACATCTATAGTGGATATCCCAGTCTGAATCATTTCTTCAGGGTATGTTCTCTCACTAGGATTGATAGAACTTCCTGTAACATATTAGCAGTAAGGAGGTCAGAATCAACATACCAAAATACCCTCAAGAAAAAGGATGCATGTAAACACTTGCCAGACATTGCATGCCACACCTGAATGGACAACTGACAACATAAGAACCAATGAGTTACTGTTAACAGCTTACCTGAGATATCCAAGTATGCTTCAGGCAATATAGGAGGACCATTATCAATAGGTTTTCCAGATCCATTGAAAATACGCCCGAGCATATCCAAAGAGACTGGAGTTTTCAGAACCTACAAAATAAAACCAAAATGTGAAGAAACTCTGACAAGGAAAACAAAATAAAAGGACTCCTCAATCAGATATGACAAAAACTGCCAACGATTGATAATTGCAAAACGCCACATTACGTGTGCATGTCAATCATGTGCATTTGCTTGTGTATGTGGTTATGGAGTTCCAGGCGAATAAGGGTTACAGAAGGCCCACAAACCTCCAAGGGCTTGGTGGGAATAGGTGCGACACTGCAAGAGTCTCAGTGGGTATTCATTTTACAGTACATGGGAAAAGCTAGGAATGAGTTTCAGGGAGTAGTTAAACTAAAAGTGGACAGAGAGGCCCATATTGCAGATTGTTGAGAGGAAGCTGTTTTTGCTTTTTTTTTTGGGGGGGAGGGGGGAGGGGGGGAAGGAAGGGAGAAAAGTAGAGGGGTGTCCTAGAATTAGGCAGGATTTGAGGGGCAGGTTAATGAGTAGGTGACTAACATGGCTGTTAAGAGATATCCATTCCTAGAGGGGACATAAACAGTGAAGTTTGAATTTTGCAAATTCCCAGGGTTTACTTGGTTAGACCAATAGATTGTTGAAATAGCCTTTAAGGACCCAAGAACAAGAACCGCTGGAGAAGATTGGTGACTTTTGAGTGATTTGTCAGTATAGCTGCAGTCATTAATAATAGCTTTTAGTTTATACTATCCAGCATGAAGTGTAGACAAGTAGAGGAGATGGTACTCTTATCCACCCTGCACTCACAAAAAAGAATGGGGTCACATCTTATGCTCCTTTGGTAATATAAGTGCTCCCTAATATCCAATAGGGCTAGTTATCATTTGGTTGTAGAAATTCATTTTATCTAATATGATCGGATCTTCAAGTGCCCATGGACTTCATTCTTACATTCTGTGAAGCTTAACTGATTTCCTCATTTATTACCATGGCCCAAAAACAGGTGCCCGCAGCTATTTGAAATGTAGTTCCAAGAAAAAAATTATATCCTGCATAAAATCACATTAAAGAAAGCTAAAAATTTGTCAGATCGCAGCAGACGACTGGAAAAATGAAGCCCTTTACCTCCCCAGTGAACTGTATAGTTGTAAATTTGTTGTCGATTCCTGAAGTTCCTTCAAAAACCTGGCAGACAAAACAAGATATAACCAAATATACCTTACAGTACAAACAGCCAACCAATTCAAAAAGAAAGGCAAGCAGGCAACAGTTGGAAGTAGTCTACCACACATAAAAGGAAGTTATTGTAAACTGAGCATGTATAGACACATTTCATACATCTCACAAATTTCAGGAATATGAAACATATCATGCCCCAAACCAAGCCCAGAAGACCGTAACATCAAATTTCTATGGCTTTATCTTTAACTCATCCACCTTTTATCATTTAAAAAGCAGCTTGCACCACATCTAAGCCGCACTTCAACCGCTAAAAAAATAAGCTTCAACCATATAGTGACAGTGTTTTCATTAAAAAGACTAAACACAAGCACCCAAATTGGAATTACGAAAAGATCTATGTTTTTTAGGATGCTCGCTAGGTAATTAAATTTCCAAACTAAAGACCCATTTTGAAACATTTCGTTCTAGATGCCTTGCAAAGACCGTGCAGACATTGTCATTCTTCTCCCTATTTTTGTTGCTCTCTTTTTCATACATAATTGGAATGCCTCTTCTTCGAAATAAAAAGCCACAACAACTATAGAATACAACTGATAGAAACAGTTACTTTGCCAAGAAAATACAAACTACTCATCATTGATCTGCATATTGTTTAGCAATTAAGACAAAATCTTCAACTACTACTTGGAACCAATATCCCCAAAAAGTACTGTGCATTCTGAAAGCTCACAAGTATAACCACACAGAGATATACAACCCTCCTCAATAACGGAAGTTAAAGTAGGAACCTGCACAACAGCTTTCTCTCCATCAACTTCCAGAACCTGACCACGTCGATTTGTGCCATCTCCTAGACGTATGTTGACAATCTCTTGGTATTTCGGACCCTATGATTTAGAGCAGTGACTCCAAATTAGAACGAAAAATACAAGTTTCAGAAAATACCCACAATAAAAATAAATACATGTGTATGCATGTATAAGCAGAGAAGCTTCGATTGAATAGAATAGGAGATAGCACATCAGCATACCTTAACTTTCTCCAAGATAACGAGTGGGCCAGCAACACCAGAGACAGTTCTGTACTCTGAATAGAAATCAAAATATATTACATTAGAATAGATTTAGGTTGAAATGGATCACTGATATCATATCAAAGCTTGTTCTAGTAAATGAAATCTGAACATCAAAATCAAGCATCTAGATCAAGTTCTTTATAATATCATAATTCACAGCTAGTCTAAGCAATTCATATTTAACCAAAAACACAACGAATTCCGAAATCAGAATCCAAAGCCCAGATTTTGTGAAAAGACATCAAGAAAAAGTACTGAACTCAATGCACTTATTCAAGCATGTGCATGTCATATAGCATGAACACCCAATAAGCGTAAACAAACATCAGTATGGCTGCTTCCCATACAAAGCAAGCTGAAAAGTCAAAGAATAATCCCAATTTTTCTCGGGAATTACTCAGATGATTAATAATTCTAATGTTTTTGAATCTAGTGAAAAACCTGGAAAAATGGTGAAAACTCTAGAAATAACTTACCCAAAAATCATGAAAAAAGTTGATTAATTTAAGAATCTCAACAAATGACGCTATACTTGTGTATGATTAATACAATTTAAGACAAAACTGAAATATCAATTCTCTCAAAGTTTTAAGAAATTTTACTTCACAAATATGGATATGTTTTCTTACAACTACAGATGAAAGAGAAAGTTTTTCTGATAAAAAACGGAAGGTTCCTTCTAAAATTTCTATTTCTAGTAGTAGTAAAAGGATATTTGTAGTTAAAATGAGATGAAGCATAAGGCTAACTACATTTGATTTCATAGAGACCCCTCAAATGATAATGACATGTTATAATATAATAATCAAGCAGTCCAGAAAGGTCACCTTACATGAATTTTGAATAGGATAAATTGATACGAGACAAAAACATGTACAATCATTGTTGAGGGTTAAAGTGCTATTTGTATGATTTTCTTGAACGTACAAGAAACATACCAATTCCAATCTCCAATGATCCTTCCTCCATGTCAGGAGTCTTTTGTGCGACACCCATCTTCAAACAATAATCTGAAAAAATTAAATTGCATCATTTTCAACTGATCATAAAACACCCAACAGATTCCTCATAAATTGATGAAGCGGGCTCAACACTCTGTTTCAACATAATACAACACTTTGACAGCAAAGAAAGTATGAAGCTACCATCTAGAAGTGAAAAATCCTATGAACAAGAAATTCTAGCAGGACATCAAATATGAAAAGCTAAAGAATGGATTATCTTATCAAAATCAGTGTAAAATGGACTATAGTTCCTAGCAAATGTAGGCATTTCTTGTGGAAGTGGTGAATCACATATGAGCTGTATAAATAATGACAAACATACATCATATGTATATCGATCACAGATACAATCTGAATATACTTTCATCATTCAGTTGATTGTGACAAAACATTTATTTTGTTTTGAGGAAATTGTGACCAAGTGTTAACCCAGTAACTGCAGCACAAACTTATGTTTTTTAAATTCGTATAAACTTATAAACAGTATGCCATAGCTTTTTCGAATTGTAATTATACCATATCTCTAATCCTAATTTCTGAATTCCAATAACACAATTAAGCAAAAAAAAAAAAAAAACCGAAAATAGAGCATGTTCTTCAACCCTAACTATCATGAATTATCATCATCATCATCATCATAGCCTTTTCCCAATTAATTGAGGTCCGCTCATAGCCTTTTCCCAATTAATTGAGGTCGGTTACACGAATCCTGGTCCACCATTCTGCTCTATTTAAGGCCATACCTTCAGTGAGGCCATAAGTCCCCATATCTTTTTAGACTACTTCCAACCACATCCTTTTAGGCCTACCCCTTGCCCTTTTCAATCCTTCCACTTGAACTAACTCGTACCTCCTAATAGGTATTGTACAAGATCAACGCCACACATGGCCAGCCCACCTAAGTTTTCTCTCTCTTATCTTATCACCTATTGGTGCCACACCTAAACTTTCCCGAATTGATTTATTTCGGATTCTATCCTTTCTTGTCTTGCCACTCACCCCCCTAACTTTCATTAATATAAATCCCAAAACTCTTAGTGGTTGCTGGTTGCCTCCATGGTTCAGGTGATTAGAAAACAATAATTTGCTGACCTAGCAGGATACTAAACCTAGTCAAAACCCTAGTTAATCAACTTAGTTGCTAGTTTTTTGTTTACAAATTTCAACTCTCACTTTTATATGTTCTCATTATTCATGCTTTTCGCCCTACAGTTCCCGTCATCCCTACTTGAGTAGTGAGAGACTCAATTAAGCCGAGTCCTAAACATAATCATGATATATTTGGAACCAGCCAGACTCTACAGGTTCCCATAGGTTTGGTCCCAGAGCAGGCAGGCCAAGTCTGAGCAACTGTGGCGAGTCCAAGTTAGAAGTGCTGAGTGTTGATTCACTACTTTTTAAGGCACATAATCACGCTTGCTCCATCACATCTTAGTGTTGGATTCTTAACCAATGAACACAAGCAAAGGCTCTTTCTAAGCCAAAATTTCTCAGAACTCTTATCCTAGGAGAACAGATGAGCACCAATCATGAACCAAAACAGATTAATCAATGCAACTCAAGATCCTCAAAGGTCAATAGTTTCCTTAATTTTGGCAAAAAAAATCCCAAGGAAAAGTATCCTCAAGAGCTCAAAAATATTCGGACATTCAAATGTACTCGAAAAGTAAAACATTCCACAAAACTGCTACCGCATAATTTCTGGACCAAAGATACACAGTTTCATATTAAAAGTTCCCAAAATGTCACAACTCACAATAACTTCATGACCAATAGCAGTAAGTATTTTCCTGTAAACACTAGAATGCAATATACTCTCTGAAATACTGGCCCAAAAATATGTTAACTCATCAATCATGGAACATTTTATAGCATGATGAGTCCAAAAAAAAAAAGTACATAGTTTCTTCAAAGTTCGCCACAAAGCAACACTTCATTAATGGGTACTTATCAAGAAATCATTAATGGGCTACACCAGTATCAGATCACCAAAGATTTTTGGGCTGATCTGAACCGTCAAAATACTTCAATCAACTGGTCAATAATAGCATATACAAAAAACAAAATTTATAGAACGCAGTCTCGAGACTACAGAGTTAGGGTTTTCCAAACCAGAGATCCACTTATGTAAAAAGCACATCCCTCAAAAAATTTTACAACAACATACATTGGACATTATCAAATCAAGCCAAGCATTCAGTTTCTGAGAAGAAAGGATGTAAAGATCATAGTGAAATTAGTCTCACAGAGAAAGAGAGACCAATAAAAGAGACCAAAGGCAGGAGCTCATCAAATCAAACTTCACAAAGACCAGAATCAACCAAATAAAAACCCTAGCTTCCAGTAACGGACCTCAAATCAACCTAACAATATAGAATCAGGGAAAATTTTATAAGTTTGAGGTTAAAAATGATACCTAAGATCAAAAGCTCAAAGGTTCAGGGCCAATTCCACTGTGCTCGTTCTCTTGAATCTGAAAAAAAAGGAACAATACAGACATCCAGTATCAGAAGAATATATATACATCTTGAGAGAGAAAGTAAATAAATCTAGAGAGAGAATTTTTCTTTTTCATTAATTTTGTTCATGAATTTCTCATTTCACCAATAAATTTTAACAAAAAAAGGAAAAATATGGGGAAAATACCTTCGAACACAAAAGATGTAGAATCTCACATGTCAATGCGTTTTGATAATAAAGTTCGCTGCGGTTCATTTATGCCCGCTACTTTTAGAGAAATTACATACATGTCCTCAATCAACGTGGTGTCCGAAAATAGTAAAAATAAATTAATTATAGGGTGAGTTGGAATTACGAGAATGCCACTCCCCAGGGTTCGACAGGGTTTTAATGAGTTTGGTTCATTGGGAACAATGTTACCTAGATGGTATCAAATTAGTTCATCTATGCTTAAGTGGTATGATCCAAAACAAAAACCAAATTTCAGTAATAATCAGTTAAATTAGTATTTAGCAATTTTGATTCGTATGATTGGTTGACTTTAATAGGATAGATCTATAAAAATAAATTTTGGCATAGAAAACTTGCCTTTTTAAAAAAAACATTTTATATTTTAACATGAATAATGATCCTATAGGACATCATAGAAAACTTGCCCTTTAAAAAAAATATTTTATATTTTAACATGAATAATGATCCTATAGGGCCCTCCATCACCCATGTGTATAGGACCTCAAATGATCACCATTAAATTTGGTACGAATTCCTAGAAAAGTTATGACATGGTGTGGGACTTAAATTTTTTAAAGATCCGTGTCAAATTTAATAATGATCATTTGAAGTCCTATACACATGAGTGGGAGAGGGTCCTATATGATCATTTTTCTTTTTAAATTATTTTATTTTTACTTTATTTTTAAAAATTTTGATTCAACCGTTTTGATTGATATGGAGCGTAGTTTGACTTGATTGCAACTGTTTCAAATACCTGTTTGATTTTGATAACATTGATTGGAGTGCAGACGTTTGGGAACTAATGATTTAGACTACTTAATGGTCGATCTAGGGCCGACATTTTGAGTCATGGCATTCAAGAATAACCCTAAAAAAAAAATGGTACATATGAGTGTTTTAAAACCTAACAGCTAGATTGGGAATTGCCGATCGGTTCCTACGAGGAATAGGGAATTGGTCCAATTTTTATGGACTCTTCTGGTTCTGTTAAAGAACTAAGCGAGTCTATCAAGGAACCAAGAGATCTGGGCTGGCTAGATACCTCAGTTCCAACGGTCCAGATTGATTTGGGCCAATTTGACGATCACAGATATCTTGTAGTGTTTAAATTTTAAGTTTTTTTATACAAATCTAAATCACTTTAAATTTTAGGTGTGTGTTATTCTCATCAAGATGCACCTAATAAAAATATAAAAAAATAATTCACTAAAAACAAATTAACCAAAATACCCTCGAAACTTTTCAAGGGTATTTTGGTTAATTTATTTCATGTAAAATATATTTTTAATATTTCTTGAAGATTCACCTATTTTTTATGTGCACACGCTCCAAATTTAAAGTGATTTGGTTTTGTAGAAAAAAAAATTTAAATTCAAACACTACTGGACATCCATGATATTCAGATCGGCCCATATTCAATCTTTGCCGTTGGGCTCATTTTTCCCGTAAGCTAGTGGGCTCACCCTAGATCATCGATTTGCCGATCCATACCAAATTTTTTGAAGCCTTACTCACCGAACCGATACAACTTTTTGGTCCAGATGAATGTCTCATTAATAAGAATTACTCTAAGGTAACTCCACCCTAACAATGGACTTAGTATTATTACTCCTAAAATTTCTAATCATAAAACACCCTTTAAAATCTAATGCTTTGGATTAACAATAACAACAATAACTTGTTCAAAACTTTTAGTCCAAATACTTAAATTAGTGCCCTGGAAATATTGAGCAGGGTAGAAAAGAACAGCTAGACATTGGGATCATTCATGACCAGCTAGGGTAAAATCTTCCAAAAGATCCTAGTCACTCCTAGGTAACGACCAGGGGCATTTAGGTCATCATCAACAAAACCAAGGGTACTTTGTACAAGGCCCTAAACAACCAAATTAAGACACACCTCAAAAATTTATTAGAATAAGTTGTTTCCATTCACAAAAATCTCATATGAATATAATAAAATGGGAAAATGTCTCTATGTCCCTTATTTTTAGGTTTCATTTTATAATAGACCTAAGGTTTTAAAAGATATATTGGAGTATAAAAATTATAGATTTTATTTCTTCTAACTCCCAGAGCTACTTTAAACCTGTTTTTTTAGGCCAAACAAATCTAAAAAGACATACATTTTCTAAAAGCCCTCCAAAACTTCACTTTTTCTTTTTCCTTGCACCTCTGTGTTCCCATCTCTAATCGCTCACTCTCGCTCCTCCCAAACACTTTCCCACTCTAACCTTTCATTCTGTCTCATCTCGTTCTTTCTCTCTTCATATTTTTCATCTCTCCCCTCACACTCTCTCTCCTCCTAAATACACAGTAAGTATACGGAGAGAGAAAGAGAACAACATATAGATAAGGAAACAAGCTTGAATCCATCTCTCTCCCCTCACTCTCGCGTTGATGGGTTGGCCAAAAGCTTGAATCCATTGAGTGTTGCCTTGAAAGCACCGGCTTAGAGCCTTTTGGTCATGATAAGAAGCAAATCTGGCTGCTCTATTGCCTGATTTTGGCCCATTTTTGTCATTTTGTTTTTTGCTATTATTTTGCTGGAGATAGAATGGGGCTCTTGATGGTGTTGCTTCCTCATCTGATTACAAAGAACCATAAGAAATAGAAGAACTAGGCCAAGAAGATGAAGTTTGGATTCCATTGAATTTCCCAGTGTTGATGCTGGATCAAAAGCAAGATCTTGAGCATCTCATGCTAATTGTGACTGTTCTGATTGGGCTTATTGGTGGCCAATTCACGGCATTGGTTTTACTATGTTCTTTTATTTGCACTTGAAATATCCTAGAACATTGTATCATTGGAATCTTCATTTTGTCAAAATGGATTGAGTTTTATGAAATATTTGTTATAACTTATCAATAGGCCCGAGAGAAATTGGAAAGGAAAAATCATCAATGGACATGATCACACAGAGTCAAAGTTATGCATGCTTATGAATAAACATAACATTGGTGGCTTACCTACTCATAAGCCCTAGCCATTTGAGATGGGCAAATAAAAGCTTTAGTTGTAATTTGGGGTGAGCGAGAGACTGTGATTTAGAGAGAGAGGAGAGACATGGCTTTGGGCAAACATAGGAGAGAGAGATTCGGGGAAACATAGGGGAGAGTGAGATGGATATAGGGAATCATAAGAGATGAATTTAGGGAATCACAGGAGAGAGAGAGAGATTTGGGGAAACACGGAGAGAGAGAAAGGATGGGAAAAATAAAGAGAGAGAAAAGGACTTAGAGAAGCATAGTAGACAGATGATGGACAAAAAGAGAGAGAGAGAGGGGTTTGGGGAAATAGAGATAGAGAAGGGTTTGGGAGATTCACGTGGAGAGAGAATATGAAACACTGGAGGAAAGAGAGGCGGTTAGAAAAGATGTATTTATAAATTTGTTTGGGTTAAAAATGCTGAAGTAAAAATAGATAACGGTATATAGGGATTTGAAGATAAGGTTTTGAACTTTCAGTTTAGAAAGAAATAAACCAAATAAAATAGAGTTTATAGAGATATTTTTCTTAATAATATAACAAGTATTAAAAATAGGACATTTTGTAATGCATTTTTTAAAATGACAATTTTCAATATTATCAAGTATTCTGCTCAACTACATTATTTTTTAAGTTTTAAATTTTATAATTAGAGATAAAAATAAAATTTTAAACCATCACACAAAATTTATGGTACTAAAATAACATCTTTCTATACTATTTCAAAGTGTGATTTACTTTGATTATTCAAAACATCAGGTAAATATACTTTTCTAACAAATATTCAATAACCCACACTTGAGTTTAATGGAAACTAATAAAAATATTTTAAAAAAATATTTGATAGGACTACTCCATTAAAAAAATTTGGAGCTGACTCCGACCATATGTAACATCAAAGAGTCAAGACCTTAAAGTTACATTCATGCCCTATGGACTTCCATAGAATGACATACATAACCCTATCATGGCTTGGGATTTTTTCTCGCGTCTCTAGCTAATAGCACATGCCTTCACTAATTTAAATGATTTATTAATTTGTCAAATTATAGTTTTTTCATTTTCAAATTTTTACTATAAAATAATCAAATATCATTATTATATTTACTAGCCTTAAAATTTATTATTGATAATGTTCATTTATGGCAAAATTTTAAGAGGTTAATTCATAGATATTATTAGTTTCAAAGCCAATTCAAAAGGGTTTTAAAAAATTTAGGAAAGACTTGATGCAAAGGTTCCATTTTTTCCTAGCATTTTTAGTGAGGGAAATAAAAGTTACAGCCCTGAACAATCAAATAAAAGTTACACCCCTGAACAATTAAATTAAAAACGGTTAAAATCAAGTAAATCTATAAATATATGAAAATCTTAAACATAAACTGTCTAGATAATGTGTTGCAAGATACACTATTTCTGGAACTCAAGATTTATTTATTTATTTTTTCATATTCATACATCTCAATATCGAGATGATCAATTAGAAAGTTTTTCAACATTAAAACAACATTTTCGATAGATTTTTGAGGTGCATCTATGATTCTACAATTTAACGTTGCAACATTATATAAAACTTTTCCCATTAAGTTAATTCTTGAACCCTTTTCATTTCTTTAACTTTCTCCACAGTTTTTGGATACTCTCTCTCTCTTGTGACCTCTCATATAAACCTGGTAATAAAATATAAAAAAAATTATTTGGAGCTTTCCTGGAATAAATTACAAGCATTTGAACCCTTAACCTCCTTCACCCAAACCAACATGTCTACCACTTTGCAAGGGCCGAAAGGAGATGGCTTCTTTCGGCTCTGGGCGATCAACTTCGAACCAAAAGGAGATGGCTTATCCCAGCTCTGAGGGATCAACGTCGAAGGTTCGAACCCATGCCTCACCAACACAGGTGTATATGCTGAGATAGAGCCAAATAACATCGGGATATTGTAATTTCATTAAAACAAATGAGGAGTCTTAACTTTCCATTCATGTTGTTTCAAAACTGTAAAATTTGGAATTTAGAAAACTCTTTTTACTTTCCATTCATGTTGTTTCAAAACTGCCAAATTTGGAATTTAGAAAACTATGGGGTTTTCCCTGTATAAAACTGGATTTTCCTTTCCAGCACTAGCTACCCACATTGATCCATAAGGAATATCAAAAAAACCATAATAATGCCACCACACACAATGATCAAGGTTCAAGGTTCAAATCTTACACAACCCACCAAACTAAAAATCAAACCCATCACAGTAGTCCTAGGTTTACTCAGCTCATGAAAAATCTCTCTCTCTCTCTCTCTCTCTCTCTCTCTCTCTCACACACACACACACACACACACACACACACACACAAAACGAACACACCACCATCCACTCTTAAAGTACAACCTACTCTCTCTCTCTCTCTCTCGGTGTTTTCTCTCTCACACACCCGCACAACACATCAACATCCACTCTTAGTTCTTAGGCCCTAACATCTCTCTCTCACACACACACATCCACTCTTAGGCCCTAACATCTCTCTCTCACACACACACATCCACTCTTAGTTCTCTCTTTCACACACACACACACAAAAACACACACCAATATCCACTGTTAGTATTATCCAAGTCAAGAAAAAGGAGAAAAGCAGTTTAGTAAAATAGAGATAAGAAAATTACCAGTTAGCTCTGGTAAAGTACCATTTAGAGCCACCAAATGAGCCCAAATTAATGTTCATTATGCCCAATGGTGGGGATTATACATTACTTACCCATAATTCACAAGTCTCAGTAAAACTCACAATTGAAAATCAGGTGAAAAGAGACCAATGGAAACAGCAATCAATAATGGATTACATTTACCAGATTCATGGTCCAGCTCATGTGTCGATTATAGTCACCCCGTTCATGGTGATAATCATGCATGAGTACCTGGTGATATCAGAAGAAAAACTTGGTTATAAGAGTGAAATCAGAATTTATGGGGGAACACAAAAAATTATGGTTTTCTTTCTTCATTTTTACTTTTCTTTTTTATATTGATAATGATAATTACTAGAACTACTTCATTTATCACAAAAATATTTCCCAAATATTTATTTTTTGAGAGAACAATCACAACGCACGTGAACAAGATTAGAAGAAAAAAAGGAATGGAGTAAATTGCAATTTTATGACAAACCAGCAAGAAGATACCCAGCCAAAAAGAGCGAAGTGATATATTTCCCAAATTTCAAGCACTCGGCTTCTCTCTCTCTCTCT